GTCAAGAAGCCGTATGCGCAGAAGTCTGGACAGCGAAAGACGAAGGCCGGACATCGTGGTTCGAGCCAAGTGATCCGCGGCGTCGTCGCAATTCGGCGCAGAGTGGCGGTTAGTCAGACGCCGGTAGTGTAGTGTACCAAGCCTTCAATGTATAGATCCCGCGGTGGTATCCTCACACCGATCTACGCTGCTGGTACGGCGTTGGATTCCAAGGAATGCATGCCCCTATACGCTTGGCTTCCCTGGGTCGACGTATTGCCCAAATATGATGTCTCCTTACTTGCCATCTCTCGCGTACATGCGATCTTAACAGTTTCTCCGGCGAGCCCCGTCAGATGTGCTGTTTTTGGAGCTTTTGCACGTATGGCGAGGTGAGACGGCTGGGCCGTGTTTCTCAGTTTCCGGACGATGGTTGAGCCCGAGTTTTGTACTTGACAAACTCATGTCCCACGTCTCGTCGGTCACGCCTTGCTTGTGGGTGGTGATCACGCAATCTCCGAAAAGCGAGCGACTACATTGCAACGTATGTACAGCACGGAGAGAGCGCGTATACATAGGCGTGCTGGTCGAGGGACGATGGTCACCATACGCCTTTGAAGACTCCGGACACGGCTTCTGGTGAACGGGCACAGAACAAGGAGGGAAGAGAGGGTAGACATGGTACTAGGAAGGGGAGTTCTCAGATAACGGCAGGTTCGATTTGCTATGCTGGTGGCCGTGATATTCCATGGGTTGCGTTCAATCCCCGCGTGTCGGAGGCGTCCTTAATGGCCGTGTTAGACGTCGGCATGAGTACCCATCGAATCGTTATGCATGTCTGACTGGTCTGACTCGTCGTCCGAGAAGTGCCGGCAATAGTCTCTCCAATCCTCATCCTCATCCCCATCGATATCCCCATCCTCGAGTCCCAGTTGACTTGGCGCTTCCGCATCGGACGACATCGTAGCATCTTGCAGATCGTCGGTCGGGTCGATAGACGAGCTGTCAGAACCGTCATCTTGCGAAGCCGCCGGCGAGTTTGAAAGCGAAGCCGAGCGTTCACGACAGTCCTGACAGCGGAGAGACCCCGAATGTAGCAACTCATTGAACTCAATGGGCCACTGTTTAGCAGCAAAGGATGTGATGATGTAGCGCGTGTAAAGTTGATCAAGCGCGAATTGAAACTCGGTCTTGTCCAGGCGCTCGTAATGGAATTCCTTCAAGACAGGTGTGGTGATCCAATGATCATCACTCTTGCAGAACCCGTCTACGTCCTCTGCCCGATCGGCTCGTGCGAGAACTGTGGTCAACGCGCGAGCAACATAGTTCTCGTCGAAAAGCTCATCCCGGCCTACTGGCCATCCATCCATGCCAACCGATTGAAGATGAAGGACCAACTTCCTGATCAACATAACCGTCTCGGTCTGGGCTTCGGCTCCTGCGCGAAAGTCGGGCATAGACGGCGCGCCCTCCTCGGAAAGGGTGGTGGAGAGGAGCTCCGCGAACCAGTGCATCAGGCGCAATTGTTCAAACCAGGTGAGAATGGCGGTGACGAGGTCGGGATCTTTGAGAAGGAGTTCCTCTGTCGCGTCACATCCGCACGCTAACTTGCCGATCGTGGGCACAGTAGGGTTGTCAGGATTCGTGATCATGTCGGTGATATGTTGGCCGTAGAACTTCAGGCTGCCGTGTTTGTACCACATCTTGTGATCGTATGCCTCGAAAGGAATACGGTCCTTCATCGCCTTATCTCGCTCCTTCGCCTCGTCCCATACTTCGTCCTTCCCAAGGTTCTCGCGCATGCAACGCAGCTTTTCGGCGACGTAATGTCGCCTCTGCGTATCCAAACAGATCTTTTGCCAGTGGTTGATAGAGAGAACCGCCTTCCAGTCTGTGGTATTGAGGGGCTTGACGTGTGGATCGGTGCGTGAAGTCGGGACGCGCTCAAGAATGGAAGGCAGCAGGCGGACGGCGTTTGTAGCGTACATGACCGTCTTCTCCCACTTCTCTGTCGCAGTGAAGATGCAGAGAGGAGGAATGAAAGATTTAAGGGAACGTTGTTCGAGCTGTTGCTTGACCGCCTTGTCAAGGACATCGCGCGAAACCTCGGCCGCCTTGCTCAAAAACTCGGGATGGTTGGTGTCCGCAGGGTGCTGAAGAGGGGGCGCGAGGATATGAAGATAACGATCAGCTTCGCTCTCGCAAGCTGCATATCTCGGCAGAACTCGCGGCGCGAACGCAGGGCGGGGCTTGAGCCTATGGATATAGTAGCGCCTAGCGGCTGGCGATCGCGCCGTCAGTTCTTTGTAGCGTTCGAGCGACGGACCCAAGTCGCCAAAAACCTTCAGAGCCCGCTTCAGAGCCCTATCCTTTCCATCGATATGCCGCTGCTGATCTATCGCGGGCGATTCAGCGGTGCACAAGGGATCGAACAGGGTAGCCAATAGGACGCACGCTTTTGATTTACATCTAGCTTTCTTCTCTTGCGTTCAACTTCGTCGCCGAGCTTGAATGTCGCTTGATCCGGACGCGGTAGATAACCCCTTGCGATTGGCTCTAAGAGACTCCACGTGCAATCCGGAGGTGGCGGGTACCAGCGGACTGGCAGCATTTTCTGCCGGAAAGAGTCTAGCGAGCGAGTCAGCAGACGACAATACGAATGAGGGTATAGATGCCTACTGAGTTGTTTGCATAAAGCTACGTCACAGCGCGGCGAGTCAGCTGGACCAAACTTATCCAGGGGAATGTCGATCTCGTCCAGGTCCGCGTACACCCAGACGGGGATGCTCAGCCGCTTGAAAAACCCGATATAAGTCTTGATGTCAAGTCCAGAGAGTATGACGCCCCGACGAAACACGCTCGGAGTTTTTGAGGATAGGTCCATATGACCGGTCGCCATGTCTACGGGTATGATGTCCAGGACGAAGTCGATATAGCCCTGCAAGAGCACAGATGCACGCTGAAAGGCTGTGAAGCATATATCAAAATCTTCGAACGTAGACAGGCATCCAAATCGAAGCAATTCGCAAGCATGCACGACATCCAAGTACTCCCGAACTGGCTCTCGCACATCGTCGGCGACACGGCGAATGACGCTCGTGCTCTTGACGTCTTTCAAACGAGTATTGATAGCCCGCCGCAACAAATGAGTGGCCGTGTTGCATTTCTGCTGAAGTTCTTTATGGAGCGTCTGCATATCCGCGTACAGCTCGTCGGTGGCGCGATACATCCCATTCGCGGTTCCCATGCCACGTTTCTTCCGCCCTTCCGTAAAGGGCTCGGGTTGTATAGCGCAATCCCACCTCCCTGCGCGTCTGTACATGAGCCCATTATCCCTCTCGTTCGATGTTGGGATCTTGATCCAGGCAGTATACGGCGACGTGGTGTCGAGTAGCCCGGGTTGACGGAGAGGTTCGTGCCAGCGCCACAGGCCATCCAGGCCAAACCCGGAATCGCGTGCAATACCCTGCTGCAAATCGGGGGGTCGATATGAAGTCCCCACACCCAGCAGCCCGGCTCCGTTCGCCCATCGGACTACTACATCCACGTCTGGCGGGAGCTCCTTTCGAGGGGGTGATCGCGATGGCTGCATTGAGGACGCCTCCTCATCGGCAAGGTGTGTTATCTTTTTGAACTTGGGCAATGTTCGCTTAGCAGCGGTCCACACAGACGCATGATGAACGGCGGCGGGGGTTTGAGACGTGGAAGGTCGCGGTGTCGGCGCCATGAGAGGTGGACCTGTTACTCCAAGCAGCCGAGGCAAGATCACGCGTGTGAAATCGTAAGGATATGATAGAAAAGTGTGACCGTTGACGAGGCCAGGTAAGGGAGTCTCGTGGAGGAAGAGGAACAGGCGATGGGGCTGCAAGCTGGAAGCTGGAAGTCTCACGCTTTAGTCTCATCTAGTGATCGCGCAGAGCTCTAGCTCACGCTGGCCTACCGTACGGTCGTTACATTGTCTGTCCCTTCGCACCTTTCTCTCTCAGACACTGGCACAAGGACATATACAAGAAAATATAATGCAGAGCGGCACATGAAAAGTAGCTATCTATTGTCGAAAACTGTTGCGCACTGCCTTAAGCCTTGGCCGAGCGCGTCTTCGCTGGAGAGCGCGATCCCGCCTTCACCTTCGCCTTCTTCGCCGGCCGCAAAGACGCGCCACTCATCCTAGAGCCGTCTGTCCCGTCCTCATCGTCTCTGTCCCTCTTACGTGTGGACTTCACGGACCGAGCTGGAGACGGCGTGCGCGTCTTGGGCGACTCGAGCGCATATTCTTCAAGTGCCCGCGTGGCCGCGATCGCGTTTGGACCATCAATGGCCATCAACGCCTCCTCGACGGTACCTTCGTCGTCGAAATCCACCTCCCGACCTAGGCGGCGGTCCCGGATAGCTACCAGTAGGTTGCTTAAGTCAACCGCAAGGACTTCAAGTCCTTCGGTGGGTCGGATCGAGTATGCCTGCAGTAGTCCGTAAGCAAGACCGACAAGACCGTACCGCCTGTGCATGCGCGATACGTCCCGAAAGGCCAAGGCGCGGATGTCGAGATATAACCGGGCCACGGATGCAATGTAGTTGCTCTCGACGTGCTTGCAAGGATCCAGCGTCGCTGCCAGACGCCGCCTTGACTGCCAGACCGAGATGCTGCGTACATCCCCGGTTGGAAGCCGTGTTGAACCATCCTAGACAGCATAGGGGTGATCAGCAGAGTGCGTCTTGTCTGTGAACCTATGCAGACTCACCTGGTACCCGTGCGCAGCTTCGAACGCGCTCACCGTCGTCATCAAGTTCGCAAAAATCGTCCACTCCCCCGATACGCCCGCAGCCAAGCCTGCGAGACGCGCCACCCGCGAGCAAAACTGGCGATCGGTCATACCGCTTGAAGCCGGTCCAGCGTCACTATCCTCATCGTGTATCTCTATCACGTCGGTCTCGTCGGTTACTCTCGCTCCAGATGCGGACATGCCGTCGTTGCTCCCTATAACGGCAGGCCCGGGCTCGTTGGGCTCTGGCGCGATGTCTGCAGCAACCGTGGCCTCTTCATCGGCGTCCGTCGGTACCGCACCATCTACAGCCTGGTAACATATGTTCGTCAATAATCGATACGTCCTTCCTAGCCAACGCGCGCCTGGTACATACCTCGCTAGCACTCTCTTCTCGGTATCCCATTGATCCTTCGCGTTGTTCAAACTCACTTGCAGCACCCTGAGCGACGTCGTTACCTACCACGCCGACGTTCGTCGCACCCTGTGATATATCTGAAGGTGCATCCTGATCGTTGTTAGTTATAGCGTAGTGATATGCTAGGAACCCCAGCTCACCGTACTTCCATCAACGACTTGGGCAGTCAGCGTCAGTTGCGCCGGTGGCGCGACCGCATTGCTCGCCCGGTCAGAGTCCGGAGGAGTTTCCGCAGCGTGGGCGGCGAGCGTGGGCACGTCCGTGACGACTATCTGTGCCTCCAGCGCTTCCAACTCCAGACGGCGCATCTCAATGGCGGCGTCCAGTTCAGCGCGACGAAGCGCCAGACGCGCTTGCGCCACGTCTGCCTGTGTCGGGGTATTAGCGGTCGCCATAGCTCTCGGATTAACCTAACGAGTGATCAGACGTCTGGTGCACATCGCCCTACCAATCGCTTACCGTGGACGTGTCGGGAGGGTCTGACTTGTGGGGTATGCAGTGAATGTGGCAACATTTCAGCGTGAATGCACCCGTGTTATACGTCCAGGCCAGTACTCGCCAGGACGTCTACGGCGTTCCAATTACGCCCAGCGGCGACCCACCTTGCTCGATAAGTCGTGCGTTGATCCCCGCGCCCCTATCTCTAACTTGGCCGCGTCCGTGCGGCGCGCGCGTCGCCAACTTGGCCGCGCCAATCAGCCGCGTTCATGAGACACGCATGCCGTCAACTTGGCCGCACCGTTGACCACACCGGTATGATGCGCAGTTGCGACGCGTGCCGCGTGCGCAAATGCCAGGCCGACTGTTCGTAAGTAGCTCTCCCGCCTTGAGACGTCGCCAATGCAATGATGCCCATACCTAATGCACTTGCCCGCGCTGCCACGACGCAGCATGGTGATATCCAGTGAGTTGCGTCTTCTCGTGGTCGGCGTTGTATAGAGGCTGTGAGAACTTTTGCACCTCGTTGAGACCCTGTGGGGCCGTAGCCGATGTAGCGCGCGCGCTACGCCCGAAGTGGCAACTTGGATGTGCTATCGCAAGTCGCTGGCGAGGTCCACAGACCCGAAGCCGAATCAAGCAGCTTGATGGTGCGGCTTAACGCTCAGCGTCAACTCTAACTTACCCAGATGACCGGCTTTTGTTTGTTGGTGTTTGCACTTGCGACTGCTTCGCAACGCTCACGCTGCAGGCCGGCGTCGTGCGCGTCATCTTTGCCGGCCACCATGCTCGTCTGTGCTTGAGCGAGGCAACGAAACCGACACGGGCGTGTACCACAGACGTCCGGTGCCCGCGTAACATTGAGGTAAATAAAAATAAGCATTTTCTAAACCTTGCAAAAAATCCCTACTGCCTGAAACACATTGGAACATGGGGAATCGAACCCCTCCACTCCTCTTGTAGTCAGGAATGGGGATGACCACTACACCAGTTGCCCGTAGATATTGCTTTATGTTTAAAGTACTAAGCAGAGCTCACAAGTATTCACCATGCCGAAGAGCAAGAAGTTCGAGCCAATGATGGGCCAGCGGGCGCGCAGAAACCAAACAAGGTGACAATCATAAGTATGAACGAAGGCAACGTGATGACGACAGGCCGCCGAACGCCCTAGCCTAGCTACCGCCCAACTGCAGCGCTCTCTCCAAGTCAACGACTGCTCTCCTATCCTCTGGGAGGCTCTTCCAAGTCGAGAACCTTCCCAACTGAGCCGCCCAACCCTCACCGGCCGCCTCGTCCATCTCGTCCTTCTCAGCATCCGTGAAATCCCCCGACTTGCGGAAGCCATAGGCCACCCATCGGATCAGACTCCCCTGGCAGTACTGCGTGACGCTGTACCTCTTGTCACCAGGTGCCAGCTGCGTATTGCCGTGTCGGAGGCCTGCCGATGACAGGAGGATGGTTCGCCCAGCCGGAAACTTGATGTACAGGCGAAGGTCGAACAGGACGAGGTGGCCGCCTTCTTCGGCCTTGAATGATCCGAGCGCCGTGATGCTGCACGGAATACCCGCATAATTGGTGCCGTCGTTGTGGCCGTAGGTGACGGAGACGGGGCCGAGGTTGAAGGTCACGGTGGGATAGATGCTGAGGCCCTCGAAGGGAAAGCGGAGCTCGGGGTGCACTTCACACAGCGCCCGGAGACGTTCGCGAAGGTGTTTGTACACAAGCGGGAAGTAGTATGCAAGCGCCTCTGTGTTTGGATGAGCAAGCCGTCGCGAGTAACGTCGCCTTGTAACACACCACTTGCGAAAGCAGCAACTCGCCGCATGTTGCCGTCCTTGAGGAGCTGCTCGGCCACAGCGCGATGTCCTGCGTGCGCATACGTCAAGTTCGAAGGGCCCTTCGTCGTCCATGAGCACACGGATGAAATAAGTACGGTCAACGCGCACCGTCTTGCCGTTGCTAGCCGTGAACCCCGTCGCAAACGCAGCAAACACGCCGCGATCGTGGTTGAAATGCTTGCCATCCTCCGCGAAGGCGTCGGCATGCTTCGCACGGGCCTGTTCGAGCGTCTTGGCGAGCTCCACCATCGAATGCTCCCAACTCAGCTTCTCTTCTTGAGAGAGGTGTTTGGGAGGGCCAAGCAGAACGCAAATGAGGCGGTTCTTGTTGTCGAGGATGGCAACGGTGTCGCTAGCGAACGAGTCAGTGCAATGTGAAGAAAGAGGCAGGGGCGTCGGCGTACTTGCCGTCCCAAGGCAACTCTTTGAAGCCGCGCCTCTTTAACTCCTGCACGGTATAGACCTTCTTGTCTTTATACGAAAAGGAGTTGTACCCGCCTCGCTGGGTGGCGTAGCGAACCTCGAACGTCTTGAGGTTGACAAGCTTGACTGTGCGAGGGCGGGCATAATACTTGTTCTCGTCGTGAAGCTTGTCGTATGGTTTGGCACGGGCGGCGTCTGCGCGAGCCTGAGCGCGCTTGAGCGCCTTGCGTCGTTGCTTGTAGGCCTTTTCCTTCGCACCCCTCTGCTTGGGAGCTTTGCCGCTGCCTTCGCCGGCACAGACTCGGCTGTCCGCACCGTCCGCCTGCGCCGTCTGTGCCCCGCCGTCGCCCTTTGCGCGCTTTCTTTGCCGGCTCGCTTTCTTGTTGCCCCGCTTGCGCTTCGCGCCGCTTGATGTAGGCGCGTCAGGTTGTGATTCGGATTCTGAGTCCGATCCAGCAAGACGCCGCGCACTCTCTTCGCAGACCGACGCAGTGCGGTGGGAGGACGGAGGATGTTGCGACGTAGGAGCTGGGGTTTGCGTAGGGGGCTTTCGAGGGGGCGGGCGGTACTCCGCTCGTCGAGGAGACGTTGCGCCAGCCGAGCACGAGCGGAAGCGGGGCTCGCGGGGAAGAGTTTGGCCGCGACCTGTACCGCGCCCGCGCCGCTCCTCTGTCGGCGTCTGGGACGAGCTCGGGGGAACGTTGCCGGGCGGCAAAGGGGCAGCATGCGGAGTCGATGGCGGCGACGAGGGGGCAACATGAGCTTGAGGACTGGAAACACCCTCCTGTAGCCCGTCACCGCCCACTTCAGCTGCGCTCGTACTCGCAACCCAGCTCTTACGTTCAGCCTCGCACAGCTCGACGTCCTCCAGAAGGCCGCAGACAGCATCGAGAACCTCGCGCACATCTGCCGTTCGGCGCGTCTGCGGTTCGTCGGAAGGCGCGTCGTCGTCCGAGTCCAGTGGAGTGAGTGGCTCGGTCGGAGACCAGATGATGGGAGCGTCGCCTCCGTTGCGGGCATCGACCATGGCGCTCAGCCGGCAGGCGCTGCGCATAAGGCGTTCGAAAGGGAGATCAGTCGCGCAAGGAAGAGCGTCCGAGAACTCGGCATAGCGTGCACCGGAGCGCGTTGTACGAGGGTCCATCTAGGACGATGAAAAAGACAGTCAGCCAAACGAAAGCACATATACGGGTGAGGCTATGCGAAGCTGCGGCCACCACAAAGTCGCCTCCAAAGGCTCGTGCGGAACCTCCGGCGCGCCAGCGTGGCAGCAACAGCCCATGCCGCCTCATAGATAAGATACATGGGAACGACGTACCCGGTCTGGAGCTTGTAACGTGTCGAGGAGGTGATGGGAGTGGCTCAACAACCTGAAGCCGCTTTGGGCAGAGGCCAAGAGCTCGGTCACATGTCCTTGTTGAGTGGCACCATATTCCCGACCCATCAAACTCGGTCAGAAACTCGACTTATATATTGCACGGTGTAGATAAAGATGAAATGAGACCACGAGATGAGCCTACACGCTGCTAGTCGTCGTCCGTCACATAGCACTCACCTCTATGTACTGACTATGCGTTAGGCCACTGATGTGTCTTACCCTGTCATGGCGAGAAGCCCTCTGGTCCTCGGCGCTACCATGCTGTCGACCGTGGGTGCGATTCCCACAAGGGTTAGTCTGCTGCGACGGAAGCGTTAAGCTGCGCCATCAAGTTTGCATCGGAGGAATCCAGGGGTCGGTCGACACTCGGGTATGGCTTGGGCCGCCGCGTCACCGCGCTTTCACTTCCTCCGCCTCTCCCTCGCCCTCGCGCGGTCTCCCGTTGGATAGCTCTGTTCGGCAGCTACGCGTATGCGCTGACGGGATGGCCAACTAGGTGGGAGGGCGGGCGACGCAGGCTCAGGACTCCGGCGTGACAGGGAAGAGATGGGAATGAAATTGTGCAAACATGATAGTTACAAAAGTCGCGAGAAGGTTGTGAGGAAACGTACAGAACAGTGAGATGAATGGTCGACTTCTCGAACGTTCGGGCCGCCATGGTGATGAGCGCTAAGCGCTGAGCTTCGAAACCACATATGCTGCTCCTCAGTCCATTCCATCTCCGCAATACGATAGTGTGCGATTTCGGACGTGTATATCCCCGGGCGAGGATCAGCCTCTTGCTCGCGTACAAGAGCCAATAACGAGCGGCCCACCTCAACTACGCCGCGATTCAAGCCGAACATGTCTGAGACGAGTCCTCGGCGTGCCTGTAGAGCACCATGGCGCCAGCGTGTCAGGCGAGCGCATGCTCTTCGGATCTTGCGTTGTGCAGAGTCGATCGCGGTCGTGACCAGCCACTGACGCCTGCTTTGGCGGCTCGCCATCTCAAGTTCTTCTACTTCCTGCAAAAGATGCTGGTCGCGAGCCAAGAGTGCTTCGTTCCACCAATATCCGGCCCGCTCCTGCAAAGTATGATGAGTACCACGCTGGGTACGCGAGCTGTCACATTGAACGCACCTTGTATGGTCTATCGGGATGAGGAAAGTAGAATGATATGTGCGCCCGATGAAGGTGCCAAGAGATGTGCTCCCAGGCCACAGCATCTACGTAGCGCATAAGCTTCCAAGGGTCCCTGCGACGAAGGCGGAACCTTCCGTCGCCTCCTTCAATAATCATGGCATCAAACTGCCCGGAAAAGTTCGCCACAACACCCCGCTGCTGCTGTGTGAGGTTGTAGGGACGAAGAGTCTCTCTGCAATGCTCAACGGAGCACCGCCATACGTCCGCGTTGGATGATAAATGAGAAGACGGTCGACAGCATGGGTCGGGTAAACCCGGGAGCGCGGCGCGAACAGCTTCTTGGAGGAATTCATCGCCTGGATCGCTTTCGCAAACGGATATATGTGGTGCACCTGAGCCATCAGAGACGAACGAGCTTTGCTCGTCTGTGGTGCACAGATGGTAGTTGCTCCAGTTCGTGGAGTCGTTATCGACACAAGCGTATATGAACGCAGAAGCCTACGGCTTGGTCAAACCGAAGCAGTAAAGGACAGACACCACAAGCCCGTACCGTATACGCCCTGTAATGATTTTCTCGGCCCGCGTCTATTTCAGCAGCGTGTGTGAGTGGTTCCGGACTCAAGATGCTCAGGCCTTGCAGGGCGCGAGCCACGTCAGGAGGCGCGTCGAGCAAAGCGTCGGTCATCTTGTGAGAGGGGCGACGGCCTTGGCCTTCCTGACGAGTGCGACCAGCAGCCTCGCCACACTATTTAAAGGTTACCATGGAACGAAGCCTGCACTCCGAGATGCCACTAGACACAGCATCCTGCATGGGAATACGAGTATCACCGTCCTGGTGGGATGTATTGGCTCCTGGAGGCATAGGGATTGATAGAAGGGAAGACCATCTGATGCCCTCCGCAAGCTACTCCCTGGATGAACTGGACCTCCCAAACACAGAAGAGATATTGGTAGTACAGTCCAGGTTCTGCACAGCCCAGGCAAGTACCACAGCGATTGAACTTTAGAATCATCTCCCACAAACGCCACGAGGGGGCCTATTGGTCCCCACCAGAGATCAGAAGGTTTTCTGTTGCACATAGGCCGGGCCCCCTCTGTTTGTAGAGCGTAGATGAATCCTCTTTGTCAGAATGACACAGCCGAGCAGTCCATCAGTGACAGCACCCCGGTGTTCGCTGGCACTGCATGACATGACGAGCGCCGTATCCCGCCAAACGTATGCCGCAGTAGGGCCACAGCTGATGGGGGGTATAGCAGACGGCGCGCGAAGAATACAGGATCATCTACAAGGCACACAGTAAAGTGTCTCGCGACGACACGAGCCGGGAGCGTGGGAAGGTGTCGCCCATGAGTGAACGCGGCAAGGCCGGCTGGAAGAGGCACCCCGTAGCATGTTGCGAGGCGCGGCAAAGATAAGATTGAAGCCATCGAGGTTGCGTACAAGTCGCGCGAGTCCAACGCGAGTCAGCCCATAACACCAATGAAGTGGGTGATTTCTCGCCGAGAGCTCTGCCGCCCAAAGAGAGGACCCCAAAGAGTTAGGGGAAATCTCGCCAACCACATCTCGCGCCCAATACTTAGGTGCCCTTCGTGTCGTTCGGGATACCGCCCGACCGGAGCTTGAATACCATCACGTCAAGAAGAGATCTTGAAGATGTTCCCAGTATGCAGAAGATGCGGCCATTATGGCCGTTGGCTCAGGTGGACGGCAGGAAATACTGAGTGTCGTGAGCGAGGCGGAAAGGGAAGACGCATAGAAAAGGTAGATAAGTAAGGGCTGGCGCGGAAAGGAGACCGGAAACAGGGAAGGCAACAAGGTAACAAGATGCGTGTGAGCATGTATGCAGCTGTGAGAGAAGACAAGCCGACGTGCGACCGAGATCTTTGATAACTTTATCCGGACTCTCGATAGCACGCGGCGCGCGCACACCTCCGCGACCCGCGCTACCGCTGTGGCCCCATCCCCACGCCTACGTATGTCCTCCCTCGTCAATCTCGCTCCTTCGTCGATCTCGATCCCCCTCCCCTCACTCCCTGCACATCCACATGGGTGGTGCGCCGTCAGCGCTGTACGAAACTAGCCAGAAGATGACGATGTGGCGGCTTCGGGCCGTGGGGTGACACGCTCACGTGACTTGTCGCATGTGCCGCAAATAGCGTCGTTCTCTCTCGTCCTCCAGTATTCAAGTTCGAGCTCTGCCGTGTACATCAATGAGCTACAAGTCGGATCACTAGAGAACGACACGATGCAAAGTTTTGCCGGAAACGCGATCTGCGGCACATACGGAAAGCCACGTGAGTGTGTCACCCCGCGGTCTGAAGCCGGCACATCGTCATCTTCTAAGCTAGTTTTTTGAAGCGCTGACGGCGCACTACCCATGTAGATGTGCAGGGAGTGAGGGGAGGGGAACTGAGACTGCTAGGGGCTCACTAGGACGGATACCTCCGGGTCACGCAGTAAAGACAAGTTCAAG